TTGATTTTTTAGGATTTATGGTTTAGTTTTTAAGGTTTAAGGTTTAGAATTGATATTTTTAGGGTTTAGGGTTGATTTTTAGGGTTTAGGGTTTACTTTTTAGGGTCTAGAGTTTTGAACTGATGGTTTAGGGTTTAGGGTTAATATTTTATTTAATATTTATTATATATATATATATATATATAAAGAACAAGTATATAAGATTATTTTATCCTTTAATAAAATGTGTTTTTTTTAAATGTTTCTTTGTTGATGGTAAACATGAAAAGTGGTACCAATAAAATGGTATAATTGAAATTTTCCATTTTGCTTTGACTCAAAAGTTTTTAGAAATTATAATTCAAACATACCATTACGAAAAAACCTAAAATTTGTTTAAATGTACAATATATTCTTAAAATTAATGTCATTAACAATAAATCAAAGTCCAGGTGTCTCTTCATAATTCTCTAATTCAGTTAATCGATAAAATTTATAAGTTCTCGCTTATAAAAACTTAACGAAATAATAAACAACATATTAAATTCCAATTTAATATTTCTGAAGAATACCGAATGATTATAAAGTGCATGACAACAGAAGAGAGTGATAAAATAGTAAATATACATTTGTCAGTATGATAAATTAATCTAAAATATTAATCTCTATAATATTATTTGAGAAGTCAGTTTCCTACGTGTCGCTCTCACGTTAACTCTCGCGATAGTTGATTACTTAGATACCCTTAATGAATTTTTAGATTTTAAGATTATTATTTTTATTTAGTTTCCTTTTTACCTTTTTCCAAATAACATATATAATAAAAAGAAAATATTTCTATTTTTTTTTTAAAAAATTAAAAACGAATATATATGTATAAATTATAACTTTGTTAAAAATGAAAGTTCACAAAATAGTAATACCCCATTAATATATATTTTAAATAACATAAAATATATTTTAAAAATAATAAAATATATATATTCATGAACATCCAAAAATTTATCAGTTATACTTTATTTTCTAATTTTTTTTTAGAAATCAACATATAATTTGATAAATATTATGAAAATACATGTTTATTTAAGCGATAAATAAAACTAATTTGATTTGATTTAACTAAAATAAAGAGAAAATAAATATTATGAAAATACATGTATATTTAAGCAATAAATAAAACTAACTTGATTTGACTTAACTAAAATAAAAAGTAATAATACTCCAATNACTATTGATCCAAAAAATAATTAAACCGACAATAATATATCCAAAGTCGTATGTATAATTAGAATAATATAATATTTATTAATATAAATTATACATATAAATTGATTCAAAACTACAACTAAATATCAATCAATTATTATAAAATTTTACTTTTATGAATATTCATATCCGTGCATGAGCACGGGAAAATCACCTAGTTAACCAATTAAAAACAATGATTTATAAATGTTTAACTGTTATGAAAATAAAACATCAAAATTATAATGAATATATTAAGTAAGAGGTCTTCTAAATGTTTTCAGAAAGTTAGCAGCTACAAAAGATTTCTTTTTATTATGTGAGGTCTCATATGGTCTTTGAATCCTCATGCAGAATTAGAAAAAAATATTATTATTTAAAATAAGTTAATATTTATATTTTTACATATAGCAAAATTGTTTTTTTGTCAACAGTAAAATTCTAAACATCATAATGCATTATATAGTTAGAAAAACTTCATTACTATAACTAACTAGGTATTTTCCAGCACCATTTTAATTTAAATTATATTTAATAATATATATATATATATATTATATATTTTAAATTTAGTATTTTAGAATCTTAGAATTTTTAATCTATTTTGTAATAAAACTACTAATAAAATTCTTATAAAAATTGCATAGTTTAAAAATTATAATAAACAATATTTATAAAAAACTTGATATCTAAAAGAAACTAATGATATTAAGATTAAAATTTATTAATTTTTAAAAAGATATAGTAACTTTTGAAAATATTAGTTATAAAACTTGTATAATTATAAAAGTAAAATTAAATAACATTTCAAAATTTATAATGCATATGTCTATATATTTATTTTAGTGATGATTTGATTTATGAATTATTACCATATTTTAAGAAGTTTACTAAAAATATAAATCAACATAAAATGTAATGTATTAGTTATTCATATTTTAAAAATTTACCAAAAATATACATCAGTAACAAATTTAATTGTCAATGTCATATTTAACTATTAGCCATATCATCAATCTTAGTAGCCATGTCATCATTTTTTTTTGTAAAAATGATTATAAATAGGACATGTGACAAATCACTTCGCAAATAATATATAGAAGATAGATAATTAAATCAAATAGAAATAAACAAAATATTTTATAATATTTATATTATTATACCATTAAAATTACTCAATTTAATATATTTTTCTTTTAGTCATCTAACAAATAATATTTAATATTATTTAAATTTCATCAAAATATTTATTGTGATTAAATTTTAAACTGAATATATATTATCATATATATATATACATGTTAAAAGAACGAAATAAAACTTGGGACTTTTGCCAAAATGGCTCACAATAAAATGTCAATTGAAAAACTAACCCATGTTTTTTTTGGAATTTTCATTTGTCCAATTTACCCCAGAAATTCTAATTAGTTACAAAAATACCATTACTTGTTTTTTCCTTTTTAAAAATTATGTTTTACTTTATCATCTTCATCAATTATTCACAAAAATTTCATTGCCATCAATTTATCCAACAACCATGAACAACCAATATGAAACTCTTAATGCATCAAAAAATCGATTTTGACTCATTCTATCTCATATCTTATACACAAAAACTACATCTCTCTCTTTTTTTTCTCTATATTCATCCATAAAAACCCAAGCTTTTTGATTCTAAAATCTTTAAGGTTCATATAGCTATTCAAACTCATGATTCCTGGTCGATTCCTGGTCATTAACGATTGGGTCGTTATCGTGGTGAAGTTCCATGTACTTGGACAAGTAAGAAAGTTTTCTCACTAGTTCAAGGTTTGAAGTTGATTTTTTTTTCTCTGATCTGTTCGCGAGAAGACTTCCGTGAAATCAAGTCATGTTGAGAAGACTTACAAGAAAGTCTTCTGGTTAAAACATAGGTTAGTTTTGCAATTGACTTTCTGTGTGTGTTTTTAGAGAATATTTACGTGGGAATCTTCCAACTTTTCTTTGTTAACAAAAAAAATTGTTTCCGAATAAACATGTTAGTTTTGCAATTGACCGAATTGTGTAAAAAATTGACTTTCTACAGAAGACTTCCATGATTCTGGTCAAACCTAAAGTTATGAAAGAACTTTCACGGAAGTCTTGGAAAATCTGGTCAAATACAGTAGAACCTCTATAAATTAATATTCGATAAATGAATAATCTGTATAAATTAATAAATTGCAAAAGTAACATACGCAGACTTTCATCAACCGTAAGCATACTTCATGTAGAAGTTGAAAAGACTTTCGTGGAAATCATCTCACCGAAGACTTACCAGAAAGTGTTCTGTAGAAAGTCAAATTTCTAACATAATTGGGTCAATTGCAAAACTAACTTATTTACTAGAGAAGACTTCCAGTGCAGTATTCTCTGGTATTTTCGAGAATTTTTGAATTAAAAAAAAGTAAGTCAAGATTTACAAAAGGAAGACTCCTTAGAATTCTGTTGTAGAGTAGATTTCTCCGGAAGTCTTCCTTTGTAAAATTTCAATTGCAAAAATGACCTAAATAGAAAACTTTCACGGAAGTTATCTCTGGGAAGACATCCACAAAAATCTTCTCAGTTCTCTGGTGTTATCAAATTCAAATAGTTTAGAGAGGGGTTATACAGTTTTAGATTGACAAAAGTTACATTTTTGTTGCCTCTATTTGAGAGGAAGAAAAAAAATGTGTAAAATTTTTAAAAAGTTTAAGTTTCCAAAATCTCATACACTAGAAAACTTCATCTGGAAGACTTAGCAATAGGCGGGAAATCTAATTTTTTTAAACATATTAAGCGGAGAATAGTAGACTCTGTTGTTAAGTCTTTATGTTTGGTTAATTATGCTATTACAGTTGTTAAGTCTTTTAGTAAGTCGTCTACTGCATTATATATTTGAAAAATTAAGTTTTCCAAACCCTAAAATCAAATATATAACTAAATCACAAATAAACAAACAAATGCTTTATTAAACTTAAAATCAATGTATAAAAGGTTTAATATACACAAAACTAAACACATAGAAATCAAATTTAGTTTTTTTTTTAAGTTAAGATTCCACAATCTAACCCTAAAAACACATACACTAGTATAACATAGTTACTAAACCTTAAACCAAGAATATCATGACTCAACTTACATTCACTCATCTCTATGTTAAAAACTATTTAATTTTAATAAATCTAAATTTATATCATTTAAAAATATTTATAATTACATTATTATGATTTTTTCCTAATCAAAATATTTTTTATAATATTTATAGATCTAAAATACTTTTCTGAAAGTCTTCACATTCGCATGGCTATAATGTTAAACTGTATACTGTTTTTTTTTGTCATAAAAAAATATTTGTAATTTCACTAATCTTTTGAGTTAGTTTTGCATTTGATTGAAGTTAAGATACACCTTTGGATTTAAAATCAAATTGGGAATCATATTGGCAAATCCCTATAAAACTTTTACAAGTACATATGTGTACATAATAAATATATACAACAATTACACATTTATTTTAAACCTTTGCTAAGTAAAATATAAATTCTATGCAAATATTAATCACTTACGACATTCAAATAAAAATAGATAAATTGTATAGTAGAATATTTAAATAGTATAATAAGAGTTTTAATGTATTGAACATATCTATATAATAATTAAAAACTAAAATATTGTAAATAATATAAATATTTTATAAACACAATTTATATATTTGTAAATACAAACATATAAAATTATCAGTGCACTTTACTTAAACTTTAAATAGTAATTATTTTAAAGAGTATAATTTTATTAAAAAATAAGTTCAACATAGTTTTATTTTTGAAAATTTAAAATTATCAGTGCACTTTACTTAAATTTTTAATACAAACTCGCGCCAAAACTAGAACACAACTTAGAGGTTTTTTTTTTTTTCAACTTAGAGTTGTCATCCACAAATGTTGATGCATAAACTCAAAGCCGAGAAGGTAGGCGATCAACACGACGTTCCTCTTCCTCTTTGCGCTGTGAAACAGTCTTGGAACTAACTATATTCTCATCACTAACAACCAAACCGGCAGCGATGTCTCTTAGATTAGGCTTAATGATCTTCCCGTTGCCGTTCTTTGGAAGTTCTTCCAAGAACGCGACCTTCCTAGGACACATATACCGAGGCATATTCTCACGGCAATACTCAATCAAATCTCTTTCACTTGTCACCACATTAGTTCCACCGTCTCCTTGAGTAGTCTCACCCTTCTTCTCTAGAACAACGAACGCGCACGGGGTTTCTCCCCACACAGGATGAGGCATGGCAACGACCGCAGCCTCCTTAACTTGATGGTGTTTGTAAAGAACATTCTCAACTTCGACACTGCTGATGTTTTCCCCTCCCGAGATGATGATGTCTTTGGACCGATCTTTGATCTCTATGTGCCCATCAGGATGAATCACGCCAATGTCTCCCGTGTTGAGCCATCCGTTTTTAAACGCTTCAAGTGTAGCTTTGGGATTCTTTAGATACCCTTTCATCACACTGCTTCCTTTCACGACAATCTCCCCCATCGTCTTCCCATCTCGTGGGACACTCTCTTGAGTGTCCGTGTTCTTCACGTCAGTTTCAGCTAGAGTTAAGACGCCCACCCCTTGTCTTGCCTTCAGTTTCAGCTGTTGATTCTCCGGTAATCTGTTTTAAATGAGTAATACTGTATAATTATTAAACTGATCTTTATTAATATTCAAAATTGTTTAAAGTAAAAGAAAAATAATTATCAGTTGTATTCATGGTGAAAATTTCAATTTAACGTTTTTGTAGATGTCAACGAAGTGATTACTTTTCCTTTTGATGTAATATGATTTCCTTTTGATGTTAAAAAAAAGAAGTGATTACTTATTACCTGTTCCACTCTTCTTGCCACTCGCAAAACAGAGCCGGTCCGGTGGCCTCTGTAAGCCCATAGGCATGTATAACATGAAACCCCAGTCGCTGAACTTTCTTGACAAGGGCAGCTGGAGGCGACGAACCTCCTGTAAGCATCTGAACAGGTCCAGACCTATTCGATAGGTCAAGCGGCTTCCCTTGCAGAATAATGTTGAACACCGTGGGAACACAACACATATGCGTCACACCATGCAGTTTTATATTCTTAAAGATCTCGGACGCAGTGACGTTCCTGATACAGACGCTGGTGCCCCCACGTGCTGCAACTGACCACGTGAGAGTCCAGCCATTGCAATGAAACATAGGCAGGGTCCAAAGGTAGACCGGGCAGGTCCCCATTTCCCAGCCCATAATCGCGCCCAAAGAGCTCAAATACGCTCCCCTATGGCTAACGACCACACCTTTGGGATCGGCCGTAGTACCTGATGTGTAGTTCAAGGAGATCGGATCGTGCTCGTTTTGAACACGAAACATATGTGCGACCATGGAGGACGTAGGTTGTCCTCTACGGATGAGAGACTCATAGTCTAGCTCATTGGATGACATAGTTTTAGGGGAATTGGTCTCATCAATGAATATGACCAGCATCTTAAGTTTTGAGTGGTCAAGTGATAGTAAATGGATGATTTCTCGAGCTAAGGGTTCAAAGCTACGGTCTACGCAAAAGATCTTAGGCTGGGCGTGGCGGAGGATTGTGGTTATGGTTTTTGCATCGAGGCGGGTGTTGAGAGGATTAAGGACAGCTCCAGCCATGGGAACCGCGAAGTGCATCTCGTACATGGCTGGTATGTTTGGGGCCAGGATGGATACCTAAACACACATTTATCACTTGTCTCAGATTGTATTAAAAATATATATATTATAATGTTCTCCAGTTGGTAATTAATCCACTGGTTTTGCAGTATGTTTAAACTACATATTGTAAAGTTATATATAAACGCTTGGAAAATAAGAAAAATACAAAAAACAAGGCTAGTGAGGCGAGAGTTGGAGAGAGGGGGACATACTACATCGTTCTTCCGGATGTTAAGAGAGAGGAGAGAGGCGGTCAGACGGCAGCAACGGTCATAGGTCTGAGGCCAAGTGAAGCGAGTTTGTCCGTAGATTATGGAAGTTCGGTTTGGATAACACTCCGAAGCTCTCTTCAAGAATGTTATGGGCGTTAGAGGAAAGTTGTTTGCATCACATAACTCCAGATTATCCATAGTCTTCTTCTTCTTTGTGTGTTTGTGTGAGGGAAGAAGGATAGGCAAAGATATAAATATTTACATTTAGATAAAAAAAAAAACAAAGACCTAACAAGTGGTTCTAATCAGAATGAAAGTTGACAATCAGGTGGAAATAAATGTGGCTAAGATTAACAACGCGCAATTCTGGCAATGATCTGATTCGTTCAAATAAAATGGGCCCTTATCTTCATTTATGTGGCCACGTTCAGATAGATGAGTTATTCTCGTGAATCTCTAGGTTCACCATCCAATATTATTTCACTATTTCATATTTGATATCTTTCAAAAAAGGAAACAAAATCTTGTTAAGTTATATTATGTTTTATAAAATAAAAATACAAAAGTAAATAAAAAATAATAATAATTAATAAAAACGAAAATGATCTTTTTTTAAAGAAAATATTTTAACAATAAACCCTAAACTCTAATCATAAAACCTAAACCCCTAGGTAAATCATAAACCTTTGGATAACTTTTATATAAAAAAAAAGTTCTTTAAAAAAATATTTTAACACTAAACCCTAAAATCTAATCCTAAACCCTAAACCCTTGGGTAAATCATAAACACTAAACCCTAAACTCTAGTCCTAAACCCGAAACCCTTGGATAAATCATAAAATTAAATCCTAAACTCTAATCCTAAACCCTAAACCCTTGGGTAAATCATAAATATTAAAATTTTAAAACGCTATAAGATTTATCTAAAGGTTTATGATTTAACCATGGATTTAGGGTTTGTGATTATAGTTTAGGGTTTAATTCTAAAATATTTTCTTTAAAAAGAATTATTTTCGTTTTTATTTATTTATTTATTTTCTATTTTTATTTTTAAAAACATAATATAACTTAATAAGATTTTCTTTCCTTTTTAAAAAGATATCAAATATGAAATAATGCAATTTTATTAGATGGTGAACCTATAGATTCATTCTAGGGGGTGAACCCAAGAATAAGTCCCGATAGATTGGGAAACGAGTGATATCCGCTTGTCACGTTTTTCCCGTGATACCTGCTGACAGGCGACATGGTTGCAAAATATTGTCTTCCTCGGTTTGCAATCAGTCTTCATTTTCTCAAGTTGAAAATATCTTTTCTTTATCAATAACGTTCACATGTTAATAATTTAGCTGGTAACTCGTACAACAATATTAGCACGAACAACTTGTATGTTGCGCATGTTAATGGGCAAATTCTCAAAGAATCTTTTCACATCTAAAATAAAAATAATAATTCAAACAAGAGAGAATGAAAAGTAGTTGGCGTTTTCTTTTGAAACTCAAGTACCGTTAGTCACCCAACTAAAAATCAACAAATGAGTTAGTTAGTTTTATTTTAAAAAAAATCATATTACTTTTTTTACTTCAAAAGTAAACAACTGGACTGATCTTTGGGATACCTGATCATCCACCAAGGCCACCAAGAACAAAGATACATGGACTTCATGATGGTAAGATGTATGAACAAAAACTCCGAGATATGATTATAGATTAAGATGTGGAATGATCTTTCCATCAAAATATGTTCTACTGCAAAATTTTATATTTTAAGGTGACACTTTAAAGAAAATGAATTATACTTGCTTAAGTCTAGGTATTGGCACAGTACTCATCTGCTGTTCAATGGTATAAAACATTTTCTCTGGAGAATGTTATAGGGAGTTTACGGACACGAAGTAATCTAGGAAAATACATATCACAAATAATGCTCCAAGTGGAAGAAATTGAAAAACATATCTTCTTTGATTGTGGTATAAAACACTTTCTCTAGAGAATGTTATAGGGAATTTATGGACACGAAGTAATCTAGGAAAATACATATCACAAATAATGCTCCAAGTGGAAGAAATTGAAAAACATATCTTCTTCGATTGTGTAAATGCACAAACCATTTGGTGAGCATTTGGAATCTGGAATCTCGAATGCAACAATCAACATTCTCACTGCAACATTAAAGGAGAAAACTGAGGCTTGTTTTATGTGTAGTTCTTCAATAAGGTTGGTATATCTATAAGACCAATCCAAATGGATTTATGGAGATTGTGGACATAAATGTTCTCATTTTTCAATATAAATAAATTGTGGAAGAGATTATTGCAACAAGCTTGAGAAAATACCAAAGAATGGTATGAGAATAAACAGCAATTAACTGAGCTACCACAATGGAGTACCAATCATCAAAATGACCATCAGTCCTTAAAATGGAAATGCCCACTGATGGATAGATGAAATGTAATGTGAATGGCTCATTTTTTAATCTGAGTTTACCAAATAAGGCAGGTTGGATTATGAGAGATAATCACATATGTACTATAAAGGAGCAAGACAAGTTATACGAATGAATGCCAAGTTTGCATTAGAAAGTGAACTACAAGCTCTAATTATGGGAATGCAACATTGTTGAACTAGAGGATATATGAAGATTATTTTTGAAGGGGTCTGCAAGAAGGCAGTGAACATCTTCAATAACATGATATTACATTTTGATAGCTACATTTGGATAAGGGAAGTAAATTGGTGAAAACACAAATTTTGAAGATGTTTAATTCGTTTGTATACATAGAGAAGGAAACAAGGTGATAGACAAATTAGCTAAGCAGAAAAAAATTGAAGATGTTTAATTCTGGATGGTTAATTAATATAATATTTATAAAATAAAAAATAAAAAATTTAGCAAAGCAACAGCTTCTTAAACCAAAATTTGTTTTATTTTCATATGTAGCTATGCACCCACTTCTATCACTATAGAGAGTAACTATGTCGTTTTTTTTTTCTGATCAAACAACACTTGTATTAATATTAAAAACGTTTACACTCTAATAAAAAAGGATACAAAAAAGTTATTAACAGTCAAACAAACAACAACAACGAGAACATAAAAGATAAAATGGTGATACAAATAAAAAAAACAACCATATGGAATTGTATCACAAAAACGTCATAAACTACTTCAAAGATCGCATCTAGTGTAGTCCATAGAACCATACATTTCACCATGAGAAGAGCATTCAATATTTGATGGTAGGAATATTTTTGTAATATCAACGAAATTTGTTCATTCATTTCACTCTATATAGGAGAAAATGTTAGAAGAAAATACTGATTCAATCGAGGGATAAATGGGAGCATTCAATGGGAGATTAACTATGTCTATTTCTCGTCATTTTGAAAGTAATACAGAAATGTTGTTTACAATAAAATCATTTTATCTTTCTTACTGTGGATGTCGTCATGTTTTAAGAATGAGATTGGAAACAACACGTACTTCTCATCTCGATAACAAAACCGGCAAGCCTTGGTTTCTTTACCAAAAACTATCATCAATCTCCGCCGTCTTCGAACTTCCGATCCTCAACCGCTTTTTCTCACGACGAAACCCTAAAATCGGCATCGCTGTGACTCTAATCGTTTTCTGGTGAAGTTGATTCAAAGTAGCTATATTCAATGGCGTACGTAGACCACGCGTTCTCGATATCTGACGAGGACCTAATGATTGGGACTTCGTATGCCGTCAGTAATCGTCCGCCGGTGAAGGAGATCTCACTCTCCGTGGAATCGCCTCTGGTTTCTTCATGGCGTACAACCAAATTGGGGGTGATCGAGGCCACCGTACGACTCCGTTACTAAGTTTTGCTTGCACGATTCACTTGGTTCGTCATTAACTAGTGTCAAAGTAGCTTGGAGTTGAGATTAGTCTGAGTGATTAATTACTTAGTGCTGCTTCTTGGTTTGTGTGTGTGTGTGTGTGTTTGATGAATGTATAAGCTTGTTTGTTTCCTGAAGAACCTTTCTTTAAATGGTTTTGATCTTTGTTTCTAGTGGAACTCTGTAACACAAGTCACTAAAGGCATGATGTTTGCTTGTGTGTTGCGATACATAGTGATCTTCTCTGCTTGCCTCAAAGTTCTTGCTTATGCATTTTGACATATCTCTTTATTGCTATGTTACCACTGCAAGAAATAATCACTTGTTTCTCATTTACTCAATTATAACGTGTAAGACTACTTACAATGGCTTATTGAATTTTCAAATTCAATAGTTGAATAAGTGCAATGGTGTATTGAAAAAGAAATTGATTCCTACATGTATTCAACATAGTTGAAAGAATTCAACAATGTTGAATCGTTGAAGACAAAGAAAAATAGGTCCCATAATAGCCACGTGTCACAAAACAGTAGCCACTTAAATTTTTGATTTGTTTTTTTCCTCTCAGTTATTGAGATTAATTATTTCTTAAATTTTCATTGTTTAAAAAAAATATTTTACATCAAAATTAATCATTTTCATACTCTATAAATAGAGATTTATTTCATTTGATTTGGACACAAGAAAAAAAATCATATATTTTTAGAGAATTTGGCTTCAGTGCCCACAAAATCGCAGATAATAGGTTATATACCTTCTTCCCCTAATACATTTTCCATGATAATTTCGCCCCTAAAACCTACATACCGACGCATCCTTACATCATGTGTGGTTCTCTGTGTCTATTCAGAGCACTCCTTATTTTCTATTGGGTAATAAGATGGTTCCTGACTCTTGAGTTGCTAGGAGGCGTGTATGTCCCGATGCTCTAAAGAACGAGGAGAAACATTTATTCGTACTCTACCAACTAACCATTCATTCTCCTCTCAAAATCTTATTACATCATCCCTTTGATTTTTGTTCTTCTTTATTTGGAAGACCCTAATCCCCAATTATTCTCTATTTTTCGTTTGAAATGGCCGATGTTCCCCTCCCTTCTCGATTGTTTGCCGCCGGGGATGAACCGACTGGTGAGCGCGTCAACTCATACCACAAAATCAAGAAGACGGAAGCTATCATTGATGTGCTTGATCCTGGCGAGTTTGCTTTCCTTCAGAAATCTACTTTTGGGAAGATACTCGGCATTGAAGAGAACTTTCCCTTCTCTGATGCTTTCGGTCAATACATTTTGGTTCGTATATTAAAAGTGAAGAAGAAGTATGAATTTTGGTTCTTGTTCGCCGGACATCCTGTTCGCATGTCTCTCCGTGAGTTTTCTATTGTCACTGGTCTGAACTGTGGCAAGCTTCCATAATCTGTGAAGAAGAAGAGAAACCCGTTAAAGGAGAAGCTTTATTGGAACGAGATATTTGGATCTCTTAAATTCTGCACCGTAGACACTGCGATTGAAATGTTGAAGAAGAAAGTAGTAAAGACCAGAGAGTTGAGGATTAAATTTGCTTGTCTTGCCATCACCTCATCAATATTGTTTCCTTCTTCACACACGCTGCATTATCCCAGAGCATGTTGAGTTGATCAGAGATATAGATGAATTCCTATCTTACCCTTGGGAAACAGCTTCTTTCCTCACACTTGCCAACTCCGTAAACGGGTAGGATGAAATCGCCTTATTCCAAGGCTCTGTAGCAATCCGCGGGTACGTTGATGCGATTCAATTAGTTTTCCTTGCTGCCATCCCACAATTGAAAGAAGAGATTACTCAGTCTGAGCCCATACTTATTGAGGAATCAGACAGTGATAGCGAGAGGTCTGAAGGTATTGAACATTCGGAGGAAGACAATGTCGGTCGAGCAGAAAAAATTCCTTAGGCCTCCAAATATTGCCTAATTCCTGGTCACGCAAAAAAAACCTCCATATTGAGTGTCGGGTAATCACCTCTAACTTTTTTGGAAAATCAGATTTAGTTGCTAACAAAAATTTTAACCACTGAATAGTTTGTTTGCAGCCTACGTTTGTAGATCGTATCGTTATTACGGTGGTTGTATGCTAACTTAATATTGGTTCTATTATAATTACCAGTATTTGATAAGGAATATTTTAGGTCGTTTTCTTACAATTTAGTTGATAAACCTGTTTAGTTATACTATACCCTTACATATTGATCCTGACCTCATTATCTTCTCTTATTTTCCTTCCTAGGTGCCTGTGAAGTCTATTATTGATGATCCCTACGAAGAATGGTCTGCTGGTTTAGATTTTAATTGGATTGACGAGGTGGAAGATGAGTTAGTAGACAACATGGTCCGTTTGATTGGTAGATGTTTTCCATTTCGGAGGGAAATGTTCAAAGGCGGTGTAACCGCTAATGAGATTTGTATACTTAGGGGTGTGAAGAAGCCGAAAGACAAAGATTTGAGGATAAAAAAAGATAAGGATCCCGTTGTTGATGTTTCAGAAGGTTCTGCTGGTCATTCCCCATATCATGTTCTAATTGCGAAGATGGTTGTATCCGAAATTGAGGAATCACTTGACGAGAAGATACAAAAACTTGTTGTATCAATGAACAATTCGAATCAGGTTTCCGTCATCCAGTCAACCCTCTCAAGATGCCTAAAGAAGATAGAGTCTACGCTTCGCAATGCTATTGTCTCCCAAATGAAAATCATAGAAACTGCACTAGCCCAGGCTGTTAACAAATCCCACACAGGTAGCCACCAATGATCATGACACATCCATGGTAACTTCTGGGCAGACTCAGTGTCCTCAGAATGCTTCTGATATCCTGTTAGGAGAAAATGGCATTGGGGAGAAGGTATTTAGTTCAGTTAGCAGTTACACAACAAAATAACAGTTAATATGTATAGTTACAGTATTATTCACAACAAAAGAGAACTCACATCATTTTTGTGTGAAAGTAAACAAGGATGCGTCAACAAGTGATAGTAATCCAGCTATGGTGATCACACCCGCCGATTCGACATTTCATTCAACCGAGGAAACTGCTATTGAAGAGGTACTGTTCAGTTAATATATACTATATCTCCATTCCACACTTTATACCTGTCTGAGTTGTAATTTTTTGGAACTCACCACCAGATCCATATACCTAACTATTTTCTCGAAATGCCATCATTCTCTCTCGGTTTATCGCAGGATGAGCCCCCCCCCCTCGATACTGATTTGGTAAACCCCATTTCGTATGTCCTACCACCAAACGCCGCTGTACCAGATGCTCCGGAGACCCGTAGGAGTAAAAGAGCAAGGACAGTACCTGCAGGTCTTCAAGACTACAAGTGTGACCCTAAAGTAATTGCAGCTTACGATATTCTCCCTGATATTGAGGTGCGATTCAAGGCCATGGAAGAGACTGTTATCGAAGGATCGTAAGTGTCCCATTATGTCATATAAATTCAAGATATAATTAATTGTCTGCTAACTTTTTCTTTAACTATACTACTGACAGGGGAGTTTTTCCCTAATGAGTATTGTCTTACTCCGTCTGAATTTTGTGATATTGCCCGACGTAGAACCATGTCGCCTGTTGGGGTAATAAGCAAAAACCCTTTTTAATTGGTATATTTAGTGTAACTAAACATAATAACTCTTTTCAGGTCATGAACGCTATGATTGATTTTGTAGCTCTTTTCAGGTCAGGTACCCACCTTCACGAAAACCTGTTACAGAGCATTGTTTTATTTAACTTTTAACATACAAGAGTAATGGAAAATGATTAAAGCATACCTCTCCACGGTATTGGCTTAGGTGGAACAACATCCGTTTCATCTTCTGTTAAGCCGTGCTCCTCTCAGCGCATCCTCATGTAGCGCCCAACATCCTCGTTACGATTGCGACACACATGGTCACGTTCACAAAGTCCATCCTCACTGCCATGAAGAGCTCCACATCACCGTCTTCTAGGATGTCAACTGTCAGAGTTGTGTAGTATCCCGAGATTTTCATCCAATCTGGGTAGTCGTAGGTAAGCGCCAAAGCCTCTGAAGGGAGTAACCGATATTTACCCCTCACCATTTCCACCAGCTCATCGAAAGTCTCACTCTCTTTCAAAACCACATCGTACTACACTTGTGTGTGTTCAATATCGAACCTCCACGTTCCTTGGTCGAGTCTTTGCCAGTCACCAACTACAAGCCTCACCAGATGCCCCATTGCTTAACTTAAACAAGCTCGAAATTCCCCCTGAACATTATTACAGCTTATCAGTTAATGAATTTTTTAGCTTACAAAGAGAATCATTTACATGTTAATATATATACATCTTTATCTAACAAAAAACTTATACTAATAATCGAGTATCCCCAGAGTGGTATACCTTGATTCTAAGAGAGAACGAACACTGTCAAATAAGTTGCTAACCTCCAACTCTCAGTCACATTTTTCGTTATCACTTAATCTCTCTCTTAATTTTTCTGCCTTTGCTAAGTATATATATTTGAAACTATGAACCCTAGTACCATTCCCATAACCCAATACACATGCATAGGTTCACTTACCGAAGCAATTGCCATCATAACGAGGACGGGACACTTCTTTACCAAGCGGATCTTCTCCTCCGGCGCCTCATGGTGTCAGACAAGCGTGGCTGAGCACGCCTCCCCCAAATCCCCCTTTCTATGTAATTTGATAGTTTTCCTTAACCTACTGCCGAATATCGAAATCGTAGAAGAGGGGTAATTTCGTCCTCACAAGCCCAAAAGGTTATGACTTTCGTGGGTTTTAATGTTTGAGGTCATTACACCTATTTGGGCCAGTTTTGGGTATATACGACTAATTGTCCCATATTTTTACTACAAATTTTGCTTTTATATTTTTCTTATTTTTCAAGTGAAATGAATCCTAATTATCTATGTTGTGTATTTTTATGTATTATATTATATTTTCGTAATTTTATTTATTTTAATAATGACTTTCTTTATTTTTCATCTTTAATATTTGATTTTTATATTAAATTTACTAAATAAAATCAAATTATGTAAAATATATATTTAGTTTTAATATATTTTAATTTAATTTCTCTCAATAATTGTTAATATGTAATTATAAAAAACACATCAGAAAACAAAATTATTAAAAATAATTGTAGGGTAGGATGTTGAATAAAATTCAACAAACCATTGTATGATAATAGATGTTGAATAATTAGATAGAAGAGAGAGAAGATGATGTGGAAGAGAGAAAATATGAGGTGGAGGGTGTTGAATGTTGAATCCATTGTTGATAGTTTAACTGTGATGTGTTCTTAGCTTCTTTCTCACTTAAACAAAGACACGGGAGAAGTATACACCAAATGTTCTTGCCTTTCTTGTTCTATTACCGAAGACTCACTCCTCTCTTCATTTTGTCTGATTGTTGTTGGTGAAACAGGGATTTTCTTCTTTGTACTAGGGTGTCTTGTGTTTATCCCGGGGTTTTACTATACACGGATTGATTGCATATTACTCTTCTTTTTTTCTTTTTCTAATATTTGGTGCATTGTATTAAAAAGTGGCAAAAGTTTTTTACAAACACTCTAGTGCTTTCACATTCCAAAATCCCAAAATAAAAACCCCAAAGTGACCATGACTTGTTACAAAAGAGTAACGTGATGAGACATCTTTAACAACGCCTAGGAGAGCAAAGATAAGTGAGATAGGAGAACGAAGGGCAATTGGGCTTGGAGCCCATGCTGAGATAAATGAGGAAGAGGCTGGTGGACCACTGAAATCTGATTTCTGTTAACGAGAAATTGAAGAGATGCAGAAGGTTTTGTCGAAGTTTTGAATGACACCGATCATCTCTTTCAACTTGAAGCTAACCACAGTTGCATTGCATGGAGGTGCTGGAGAAGTTTCCGTTGATATCCCTCAAAAAAGAGATCCTATTTTTTACAACCGCTTTAATTGATGAGAGGATTGAAGAAGAGGAGGAGCGAAAACGTTAATGTTTGATAACGTTTCGATGCATATTACTCTTACAAAGGATATAAAGGTTTCTCCTTCTCCAACATACCATCCGTTTAACCCCCCTTATGAATCTCTGTCTCTTCTCTCCCTTGCTCATTCTATAGCTTTTTGTTGCTTCTGGTGGTAGGTTTTGTATTGCTTAATGACTTCTTATGTTTACTGTAATGTTTACAAGACTTGAATAATATCCATGTTTAATATGTATCTTTTTTGAATTCTCATTCTCTGACACTGCTAGGTCATTAATCTTAGGATTGCTGCCGTCTGATAAATATATTCACCCTTCTAACATTATACTACCTGAGAAGACTCTCTTTGCCTCTAGTTATTATTGCCACAATGAACAGATGAAGGAATCATAAACGTTATCCACCAACCCTCCCCATAAGCTCTCTCCGGTCCCGCTTATACATCTTCACCGTTGGCGCTCTAATTTAACTTGGATACAAAGTCTCCTTTGTCTCGTTGGTCATGTTCTGTGTGGTCGAGGAAAAGTTCTGACCCTGCTGTTATCTTTCTTAAAACAAATTGTATTTTTTCTTTAGCTGTATATGAAACTATTGAAAAATGGAAATGGAATATCCAAATCTTGGTATATTTGCAAGTTGTAAGTATTATTGGTGCACGTTAATCACGACAAAACACACGTTTAAACTTGGATATATTCCATATATACTTAATGGTTCTTGGACGGTTTGGTCCCACATATTAACACGTCAGGATCAGTTACAGCTAAACCGTTAAGACCTGTTAAGCTTAACTTGGCTCTTCCCTCTATCGTGCCGCCACAAACACTACCCGCCTCTCACTTCTCCATCTCTCTCTTCTCTCTTACAAAAATGACGTCATGCTCTTTCTCCAGTTCCTCTCTCCTCTCCTTCAACCTCCCTAACCAAAACTCTCTCCACCGCCGTCAATCAACCCGCCACCGTCACATCATCGTCTCCTCCACCGTGCAAACCGCAGATGGAAACAGCAACGGAACTTCTTCTCCTCCCACCGTAAAGCCTACCCGAACTGAAGACAACATCCGCGACGAAGCTCGTCGCCACCACTCCACCTCCACCAACCCTTTCTCCGCCAAATACGTCCCGTTCAACGCTCCGCCCGGCTCCACCGAGTCTTACTCTCTCGACGAAGTCATCTACCGCAGCAAATCCGGCGGCTTGCTCGACGTCCAGCACGACCTCGACGCCTTGAGAAACTACGACGGAGCTTACTGGCGCAACCTCTTCGACTCACGCGTCGGGAAAACCAAGTGGCCGTACGGCTCCGGAGTCTGGTCCAAGAAAGAGTGGGTCCTCCCCGAGATCGACCACGACGACATCGTTTCGGCTTTCGAGGGAAACTCGAACCTCTTCTGGGCGGAGAGGTTCGGCAAAACGTTTCTTGGAATGAACGACTTGTGGGTGAAGCATTGTGGAATCAGCCATACGGGAAGTTTCAAAGATCTTGGCATGACTGTGTTGGTCAGCCAAGTCAACCGTCTAAGGAAGATGAATAAACCAGTGGTTGGAGTCGGATGCGCCTCAACGGGAGACACATCCGCTGCTCTTTCCGCTTACTGCGCATCCGCGGGAATCCCTTCCATTGTCATCTTACCGGCGAACAAAATCTCCATGGCTCAGCTGGTTCAACCGATAGCTAACGGTGCGTTTGTTCTCAGCATCGACACTGATTTCGACGGATGTATGAAGCTCATCAGAGAGATTACGTCCGAGTTACCGATCTATTTAGCAAACTCTTTGAATAGTTTGAGGTTAGAAGGGCAGAAGACGGCAGCTATAGAGATTCTTCAGCAGTTTAACTGGCAAGTTCCTGATTGGGTGATTGTTCCTGGAGGCAATCTTGGTAACATCTACGCGTTTTACAAGGGTTTTAAGATGTGTCAAGAGCTGGGGCTTGTGGATAGGATCCCGAGGCTGGTTTGCGCGCAGGCGGCTAACGCGAATCCGCTTTACTTGCATTACAAGTCAGGGTGGAAAGATTTCAAACCGGTTAAGGCCAATGCTACTTTTGCCTCTGCTATTCAGATTGGTGATCCTGTTTCGATAGACAGAGCGGTGTATGCTCTTCAAAACTGCGACGGTATTGTGGAGGAAGCCACGGAGGAGGAGCTTATGGATGCGATGGCTCAGGCGGATTCGACAGGGATGTTTGTATGTCCGCACACTGGTGTTGCATTAACGGCTTTGATTAAATTGAGGAACCAAGGAGTGATTGCACCGACTGATCGGACCGTGGTGGTGAGTACTGCTCACGGACTGAAATTCACTCAGGCTAAGATTGATTACCACTCGAAAGCCATACCGGATATGGCTTGTCGGTTCTCAAATCCGCCGGTTGAAGTGAAGGCGGATTTTGGAGCTGTCATGGATGTCCTCAAGGGTTATTTGGGGAGTAAGGCACTTAGTTCATAAAAACGGTTGTTATTATTAGCTACTTGTATATCTATCTACGTCTGGTTTTCTGTTTATACTACTTGTAATATTCCTTTGGTATAAAACTTTATGCAATTGTTCAGAAATTTTAGTTTTGATTTTAATGATTCAGAGTGGGGTTAGTTCCAGGTTTGGTCACACACCGATCAGAAAGTTGTTATGGGAAGAAGCAACAACAACATACAGCTTCTTCAAGAGATATTAGATACTAGTAGTACCAAACCTTGGTGCCATTCTAATGGAACGTTGTTTTAAGAATGGAGATGTGGTTCAAGCCCTTGGGTAATGGAAGGAGATGTTGTCGTAGAAAACTATCCCTCGTGCAGATTCAGTTGTGCACAATGTCATTATTGGTGGTTTATGTTCGAGTGGAATCATGGTAGTTACTTATGGGTTCTTCATACATGTGACATGGTGACGAGAGGAGTAAAAAAAAAAGTCGTTTAGGACATTTACCAATTCTAATGTGCTTTTTCCAAATCAATTTAGGATATATTCCAAGTCGGTTTAGAACATTTACCAATTTTTTTCACGTAGTTTGTAAATATATAATATATTCGGGCTAGCGCAGGACTAACATTATGTATAAAAATTATTTTTACATATTATTATATATTTTGTATTTATT